AATATTTTCTATTACTTTTCATTGCACTCATAGTATTGGTTATGATTAAACCTTGAGTCCAAGTCAACCTTGATTTTTAATGAAGTGACAAGTGACACAGACTGACCTCATTTATAAGCCTGGCACACAGGCAAGCATCTGTTTTACTGAACTCTAGTTGCATTTAACCAGATGAAATTATTCTAACTTGGGATGAAACCATCATTTATAATGTTATTTTAACATTATTTTTCTATTCCAAGTTCCAAACTATTAAATTAAAGACAATATATAAAAATCTAACCAATTAGCAGTAAGCTTCCTAAGAGATTGGCTTCTTCTATAATGGTCATTTGTTCATTCAACAATTATTTATTGAGTGCCTACTCTATGCTCAATGGTATTTTAGATACTGGAGATGACAGTCGTGTAAAAGAAAGAGAAGGTTATAAAAGTAAAAATATTTTATCTTAAACATTCATATTAAGTTCGAGCTTCTTGCAATTAGGATGGCATGATATTTTAATAAAAGATTTTGAAACAAGCCACACAAATATTTGGAAAAATAAAAAACACGACTCCAACCTACACAAGAAAAATCACATAACAGGATATATTTCATAGGATATTTTAAAACTAGACAAGATAGATGGCATATTTCATAAAATGATTTCAATCTATCCCCTGTATAAAAATTAGAAGACATATGCTCATATATAACACACAGTTTGCAAAAATATGCGTCTTCCCAGTAGGGAACAGATATCTGTGCTACTGTTGTGTTGTACTTTTAAAGTTTAAAGTTCTCTGTTGAGAGTAAAGCAATAGATGTTTTAAAGTTGCATATCAAACTGAGAGTATATCTTGAACTTTTCCCGTGAAATTTCTCCCATTTAATTCATTCTTTGTAGTTTTATACATGAATACTGGTAAAAAGTAATAGCATTGACTTTTTATCCCTAACAGTATTTGTAATTTCCATACTAGGACTTATAAAATCCATTTTGTTTGCCTTATGAGATTTAAAAAAATTTATTTCAGTGTAAGTCAACTGAAGGCCTGTATCATGGGCCAAGATGCTAGCTAGGTAGGGAAATATCAACATATTTTACATCACTGATAAACTATTTCAATAAAACATAAATAAATGTTTTCACTTATTACATTGCTTTATGCATTTCTTCAGCACTATTACATGTCTTCATGCTGCTTTCTGTATCATTTTTCTCACTTGCTTCTAAAGCTATCACTTGCCATCTTTAAGTGCCCTTTCAAAGCTATTTAGGGATATAAGAATGTCTTGGTCACCCTTGGAAATTTATTTTACTTTAATCTAGTGTCTCTTCCCACATTATTTATTTCAAAATTCCTGATAATCTCCATCATCTATTGAAGGTTTGTCCCACTTTTCAGAATAAGTGCGTTTATATTATTTCCATGAGTGGGGGGTGAGGGGTGAGGAGAGGGTAACCTATAAATGAGGAAAAAAATACTTTTATTGCTCATTTTAAACATATATGTATATATTCATATATATACACACATATATATATATACATTTAGAAAAAGGCACAGTTCATATTGAAGACAATGTTGAAGGTTTAGAACACTGAAAAACGTAGTAACCCAGGAATTCTTAATATGAAGTCTTCAAAACTGTGATAACTTAAAAAGGAAAACAATACTATGTTTTCTTTAAATTTGGCTTGACTTTTCCTTTTTATGCCATTATGTTTCAAGAATGTATTTAGACATTTTTCACCCCGTTAGGTGAGGCATTTGCTTCCTTCACCTCACATCAGGGAGGTTATCATTGAGTCAGTTGCACTATGGTTTCCTAAGACAAATATGTTTAGGTTGAGACCAAGGCAAGAAAATTCTTGGATGAAAAGATTTTCTGACAAATTTTTATAAGTGACTGATTGGAATACATAAGTACAAATTTGATTTTCAAAAACACAAAATAAAGATCAAATGGAAATTGTTACAAATGCTGAAAAAAATTTAAATGAAAACACTACTTTGCTGCCTCTTCAGAAATCTTTTGTATTACTTCTCTTTTGTCACCAAAAGAATACTCAGCACAACTCATAGGTGCTAAGGGAGAAAATACATATTTCTCCTAGTATTATCCTTTTGGCTTTTGCTAAAAAGGAAAGAGGATCTGATATAAGGCAGAATTTAAAATTAAAAATACCTGGAAGAAAGGGGCATGAAAGGGAGTAATTTGAATGATTATGTTCTCCCAAAGCTTCTGGAATCCTCCTTATTTTCCCAAACTGGGTTTAACATTGTCCCTTAATCAACAAAAATATTGTCTTTACACTTTGCTTTTTATAATGTCAATATTGAATAATGTGACAAGAATATTTATACAGAAAGAAGAGGAGACTATGGGCTTTTGACAATCTAGGTGTTAAACTTTTTGAACTCTTATACCCTGAAGATATTGAAATTAACATTTATTGGCTGATGATATTTTGATCATGAAGAATTATTAAGGATGTTTGATTTTACTTAAATTTTATAGGTTCAGAAACTAAGAGTTCTTTGTTGGGCCTGTAGTAACACTCAGATCTATCTGGTTAAATTTTGAAAATTTTTATTATCAGAGTGATTGCTCAAATTCATCAGTAACCTGTTCTGTATGTTTTGTTGTTCTCGTTGATGTATATCTAAGCAGTAAGATAGGCCTTTTTATAATGCTGTTTCTCCTTAAAATGAGGAATGGCTCTTTTCCCTTTCTTCCGGGAAGCTTAAGGAGGAATATGGAGCTAACTGCAGTACCCAACTGAACTAAAATAAAAAGCTTGGAGTTCAGCGCCAGCAAACTTTTCCATCTGTTTTCTTCCCTTCTTCATTATTTGTACGGCTACTACAACCAAAGAACTGATGCAGTTTCTAGCTGTTTTAGAGCAAATAACCATTTCCAGATGAAAGCAATAATAAGTACAAAATGCATTTTTTTCAGTTATATCTAAAATTACCCACATCACTTTGCTATTATCCATCCACAGGTAGTTTCTATTTTTGGGGGGGGTGGGCTGGGTGTGTTGGTACATTGCTCACCATCTTACACATGATATCCAAGAGAGGACTAGAATACCTGTGCCACACGATCATTGGATAGAAATGCTTGTGAAACTGATGAACATGGAAACGACAACAACAAAAAAGTATGATCATTTTCACCTACACTCCACGGAAAGTAGTATCCTGAGGCGATTAGGACACTCAACAAGAGGTCACATGTCTGTTAGAGGTGAAGCAGACACTTGAACATCTGTCTGCTTCATGGGGAGACTTTTCGTCTCAGAATACATACCCTAATAAACAACAGTTGGAGAAAATTGTCTATGACATTCAACATAATACTGAGCTGAGGCTGAGAGAAGGAAGGGTGGAACTGTATTTCCTTTTGTAAAGCGAAAACAGCCGTGAAATACAGCCTCTTCTAAAGTCTGATATTTAAAGGGAGTTGTAAGAAACCAAATTGTTCGATTTTAACGAAGAGTGGCCAAAGTTACTGGTAAGCTCATGCCTCCGAGTCTGCAAAATCACTGACCAGGAAAGCAAAACTTTCCCAACACCCAATTTTAATATTGTGCTAAAGCCACTGACTTTGTTAAAACCTCCGAGTTAAATATGATCCCCTCCCCACCCCTCTCCCCCCGCCCTTTAGGTTAGTGTTTGGGGGACCGGGAGGGGGCCGGAGCTTGGCCCCAACCTCGGAATTGCTGCCAAGGGCTTGTAATACAATCTCTCCCCGTTTGAAGGTTAAATCAGTGTCAATTGCGTTTGCTGTCCACCAGAAAAAGTAAGCATTTTACTTCCGCTCGGTCTATGTGGACTGATGAAATGTAGGAAATCTGTTTCTGGCAGGGGGAAAAAGTCGTTTTCCCAAACAGCACCGAGAGGAGCCATCAGAGAAGTATGAAGAGGGGCAGCGCAGCTGGAGCTGCTGCCGCTGCCGCCGGGCTGGTGGGGTGCGGAGAGCGGCTGACGCAGGACCCGCGCCGGGAGGGGGCCGGCCCCGAGACGCTGCAGGAGCCGAGCCGGGAGCCCCGGTGCCCCTGAGAGCCGCCAGCAGCCCAGCTCCGGACGCGGGGGTGAGCAGGCGGGCGGGCCCCGCTCTCCGCCGCCGTTGCCGCGGCGTGAGCGCTCTGCAGCCCGGCTTGCGGAGCCCCGGCCTCTGCTGCACGGCTGGCGGCAGGGGAGGGGGGCCGTCGTTGCCAGTAACGTCGGGCACGCGGCTGGGAAGGGTGGAGAGCCTCGGACAGCCGGACGGGCTGTGGCGCTCGGTGTGTGGTCACTGCAGTGGGTGACTCTCTGACTCCCTGGAAGCGACCATGTGTTCCTCATCCCTATTGTGGAACAGTCCAAATGACCGCCGCAACGAAGAAACCCGCTGGGGCGGCTCAGCCAACCGGGGACAGGAGTGAGGATTTCTCATTAGCACAACGATTGTAAAGACACACATATGCATTTCGTGCAGAAGGGTCTCTGTCTGCATGCTCAGCGTTGTCCCTTATTGAGGAGAGGAAAGCGGAGGGGGGATGGTCTTAATGGATTGATCCTTATTGCTTTACTTGAGTCAAGGAGGCCGGGAAGGGGGGAAAGAGCACGACACGCGTGATTTGGGGTGATGCTGTCTTCCCCTGATGCGTTTGACAGAGTCGAGCTTTTGCTACGTGAATAAACAAACGCTAGGCTAGCCTATGAATCAACCCCCTTTGGGGCGATTTTTTTTGCCTGGTATTGTTCTTCTCATCCAAAGAGCAAGGTTTTGGAATCTGAAATTATTTGGGGAGCATAGGAGCCAACTTGGCTTTGGAGGCATTAACGATTCTGGCAAGATTAAATTCTATCAGCCTAATAAATTGCCATTAGCCTAGTCCAGACATCCGAAGTTTCTACTGTCATGAATAGAGGGGAAGCAAAAGCAGGGGTTAACAGATTCTGTTTTCTACCTTTCAGTACAATTGGGGTGTGTGTGGGGGGCGGGGGGATTGTCCACTTTCCTCCAGTTAACCTTTTTGGAAATCAAAACCTTTCCTCTCTCCCACCTTCTTCATCTTCATCCTCTTACAGTGAAGAGTTTGCAAAACTTTACTGTCTCTCTTGTAAACTCCTCCCTCTCCCCAAGCACCCTCTCCTACAAAGCTAGATCAACTATGGGAGATCTTATGCCCAGGAAATAAGATCTGCATGTGCACAGGAACACCCATTAGGCCTCCTAGTGTTAAATAAAGGCTCAGACAGGTCGGAGGTGCCAGCCAGGCAGAGGAAATCCACCTTTTCTCCTCACCTATCCCCTGAGATTCATAGAGACAAGGCTGAGGAGGCCTCTGCTCACTGGTTTTCTTCCCCAACATCTTAGCAGTGTGGACGCTGATTAACTCCAGCTGGATCTGGTTTGCCCAGCCTGTCTTTGAAATTGATCAATGAGTTCCTTCTCGAGGAATGCTCCCCCCTAACTGTGGAGGAGGAGGTGGTGACTGTGGCAGTCCTCTCCAGCATGGGCATCTTGGTTCTCAGTGCCTAAGACAAGGTAAGGGACAGATATCTGAGGCATGGGACAGGCAGCCTTTGCAATGCACCTTGCAGCTTTAGTACACGGCTCCCTGAGTGGGCTCTGAAAGGGAAAGGTAGCTTGTATTTCAGCCTGTGTGCTACTGAGCTTGGGGCTTAGTTCTTCATTTTAGTGTTACACACCATACTTTTGTGATGTGGACTGTGCTTTGCTGGGAAATAAACTCACAAGGCAAAAGTTATTTCATCTGGTGCAAAAGGTACTGTGATTGCCACTGAGTGTCCTAGTATCTTGGTAAGAAATTTTAGTTAAACTTGCAGGTATGGAAGAATGTCAGGTCTTATATTAATCCTAAGTATGTTATGCATAATTTTAGAATTTTGCTTCAAGCCTGCAAGCCTGCTTTATATTTATAGACTTCGGGAGCCTTTGGAAGGCCAAAGTTACCTTGGTTGAAACCAAATAATGAGGCTCTAACAGTTTGTTTGCAGAGGGAGTTGTTAAAACCGGAGCTGGTGTTAAGGTAATTTTGGTATCTTTGTGGTTTTGATATGGTGGCACAGAGATCCCGCTGTTTCTTTTAATTTCTCCTGGACGACTATCAAGATTTTCTACTCAGTGTTTTCTGACTAGAGAAAAGAATTGGAGTAAAGGTAGAAAATCTCTCTTGGCAAAAAGAGTAAGATGCTTGTGTAATTTTTCTGTCCTAAATGTTTTCAGAGTCAAAGCAACTGAGTTTTTGCTAATGCTCTCCCCTTACATCAGAGTACATATATATTCAACAGAATGTAGAACTCTGCTAGCTCTCAACTACACTATAGTTACGTAAAACAGAAATCTTTTTATTGCAAACAACACACACATGGACACACACACAACATCTTCTTATGAATTAAGATTTACTTAATCAACTTAGGTTAAATTTTGATGTAAGTCCTCAAACATCCTAATCGATTAATGACTTTCAGGTGATTTTTCTATTCAAATTAAGTTTGAAATTAATCTGGTAGGGGTCCAGAAACCTGAGCTAAATTGTTTGGAAGAATACTTTAGTATAATTAAAAAAAAAAAACTTAAAAATCTCTAATGCCAAGAAAATATAAGAAATTAGTTTCCACTCAGTCTTAATATTTTGGTCATGATTTGAGAAGGAATTATTATTGTAGGTATACCATCATTTGGTTCAAGACAAATCATCATGGGGCTGCAAGATAAGAAAAAGATTCCTGGAAGAGAGTTAGCATTCCTTGAGTTTGGGCACCAGAAGGGCTGAGTAGGGTACTTTTAATGACTAACTAGACTTGTTACTTTGGCCAAAATGTCTTAGGCTTCCAGTCCCTTATTAATAACCAGAAATTTGGCTGGTAAATCTTCTAAGGTCCATTTGAGTTTAAAGATTTTATTATATAATTAGAAAAACTAGTAACGAGTGTCATTTTGCCTTTACACTTGGTGCTTTTTAATTTCGGACAAGTTGCTCCCCTTAGCCAGAAGTGGAGGTCCATTTACAAGATCTAGAATTACCTTTCTGATTACATTTTGGACTTTTATTTTCTGTTCAGATTCTTAGGTTAAGATTTTACATTCATGACATTGGTTGAGAATATATAGCTTTGTAGATATATTATTGGTCAGCCAAAGTGAATCACATAGGCGTAAAGAACTCAAAATGGTGAAAGAGCCATCTAGAGCTATCCTTGGTTGTTAATTCTTTGAGTCTAGTTTGAAAGATAGCATTTTCTCCTTCCAGATTATGGAAGGGTGTTTGGCTTAAGGTGTTTTTATTTTTTTTAATTGTAAAAGACAGTGTTATTGGCCTATAAACTTTGTTTTCTTAGTTTCACACCCATAGCACACAAAACTGACTAGACAGAGGGGAGGTCGATGCTCTAAATCAGAACAAAGGTGGCCTTTGGTGAAGGGACCCTTGACTGTGGGTTCATTAGCACTCTGTTTTAAATGGCCACAGTTAGGTGACTTTGTGGGGGGGAAGGGTGTGGTGACATCCTTTCACATTTATTTTGAGAGGCATGGCATTCCCCTTTCTTAATAGCTTATGAGTCTTTGATGCCAAAATGAAGTATAGTATGTTACCAAAATTTGTTTTTAAAAACATGTAAACTACCCATCTTGGAGTTCAGCATTTCATTCATCATCCTGGGAGTTTCACCCCTCTCAATATGAAGAAAACTTGGGATTTTCCATTATTTATGGTTTTATTTCATCAATTCTTTATCTGTTTTCATTTCTCCCCCTGGCCTTTGCCATTCCTTAGTTATCTAGAGTTCTACAAAATATTCCTATTTTTGTTAAAGAATTTCTTTTCTTTTTAAAATAAGTCAGTGGAAGCTTTATTTTTGCATATTTCCTATGGTGATGATTTCAATTTAGCTAGTGTTTGTTGAATATAAAATATATGCCAAATACTGACACAAATATTTCATCTTCACACGTATATGTGAGGTGTTAACCTCCATTATACATACTGGAGAACTCAAGTACAAAGAGAAAAAGTCATATAACTAGGATAGAACAGCTACTAAATGGCCAGGTAGTAGAGCCAGTATTTGACCCCAGGACTCCTGATTCCAGCTCTAATATTCTATTAATCACGCTTCTTAGCAGAATTTCATATCAGACAGTAGTGATATAATGTTTATCATTTTATTCTTATTTTTCTGTCTTTCCAATTTATTTTCCATGCAATATTGGGATACTTTTTTTATCATATGGCAACAAAGACTAGATAGAGGTAAACCAGAAACCATCTTGGTCATAATCGAAGCACACCTCTAGGTGGTGAAAAAGAATACTTTTTCCTCAGAGTCAAAACTATGTCTTCAACTGGGATTCTGGAACAACAGACTAAACAGAATCTTTAAAACATGTGATATTGTACTTATGGAGTCATTAATTTTTTCTTCTTCCCCTGGGCTGGTTCAAGTCTCATCATATTCATAATGGTTATTCCAGAATCACTTCTATGGAAAGAAAGAAAAAAACACACGCACACACATTCTTTGAAGAATTCTGTATTAAGTTTCTGCATGTTTTTCCCTTTAAGTTTTATTTTTCTGAATTCCAAATCCTGAGGGTTGAGTTATCCATTTTTAGATAGACCCATAAAGCTTGGAGAAGCCATAGTCTGAAGAAGGCATACAAGCATTTGAATCCTTACTCCTTTTTTCAAAGCGATTGGCTTTGCTTAGTAATTACTGAAGTTACTTATCAAGCTTTTTAAATATTTAGGTTGTATGAATTTTAATAGTAACATCTTTCAGTATTTAGATATGTTATACAAAAAAAGAAGTTTCTCTTTCTCCAAAACCTATTTTTTTTCTTCAAGTCAGTGTATCATTTCATTTCCTGTCTTAAAAGCTACCCCTTGGTATCTCTGGTGGTTTTCGAAAATGTTTGAATGAATTCAAAAGATCAAAAATGACCTTTGTCTTGTAATTTGTTCTTTGTGATCTAATTCAACTCATTCAGATGGATTAAACATTTGTTGAAAATTATAAAAGGTTTATAATCCTGTAGTGATCTTTTTATCTGGGTAATATAAATTTATTTGACCTTTGTTCACCACAATTTAATCATTTCATTTGGAAACTGCTTCAACATGGGGTAATTCACACTCCAAATTTTGATCCGGCTAGCTGGGTCCATTTTCATCTTTTCTATTCATATCTCAGCTTTATTTAAATCCAAGACCACCATGTAATGACTTTCAGCTAAACCATAGAGCCATGCCAAGTTTGGTGGTGATTTAAAATGTGAAAAAAGGATCAGAAGAATTTGGATCAAAATCCTAATTTTTTTCAAAAGGGACTTAAACAGAAGAGTCCCTATCTATGACAGTGACTTAGGTGTCTACATATTTGGCATATGTTTCATTGTTTAACTTCTATCAGATGCTAATTACCCACTAAGCCTTTCTCCTACCTTTGCCTTCTGGGAAAATATAACTCTGTTCTTTCGTTTTTTTCACTTTACATATAATTTTGATTATATACAAAGCAGCGTAACAAACATTGCTTAGTTATTCTTATCGTTTTAACTTAATGATCATCTGTAGATATTAGAAGATAGTTTAAATTACATTTCTGGCAAAATACAGGACAGACTACATGAGAAATAAATGTGCCACTGTCAAGGAAAATAAAAACTTCACTGTTTAGAAGCATTGAGGGGACAGATTGTGTCCCTCTGGCTCACTGAAACTGTTACATGCCATTAGGCTTACTGTAAACTATCCCTTGATGAATTCTTTGCTGGACAATGAGCTTACGAATCTGAGGTGTCTTCTTGCTTTTACAAAGCAAAATAGGACTCTGATGCTTAAATGGAAGTTGCAGAGAACATAATAGGATGTAGGTAAAGTTACTGAACTACCACATCTCACTTTCAGGAAAGTAGCGGGAGATATTGTGTCTTGAGAAGAAAGGCATTTTAGAGGTAACCCTTTTAAGATTTCAATTAGTTATTTAAATGTATGAATCATGTGCTTAAATGTATTATTACTTAAATGTTTGTTTCTGAGGCTAGCTAGCCTGTAGGAATCCTAACCAACTACTGGGAAATGTTTTGTTTTCCTGGGGTTGGACCTATTTTTTAAAGAACTGGGGCAAAAAATGTTTTAGCCTTCTGGTTTAGTCACAGGGTTTGGAGAATCTTTAGGACTTTATATGAATAATGTCATGATTAACTGCAAAAGAAAATAGACAATTGTGATCTTCTGGTCCCTGTAATGACAATTTAGTAGCATATGACAAGGTATATTAAAATGTTTCACATTTTCACTAGTTATTACTTTAGATGACTAGATATACAGAGATTTATGGAAGGTGTTTTCAAAGAAAACTTACAGTAATTTTTTTCTGCAAAAATTACTTCAAAGCATAATTTCTCTGGAAATTAAATTGTCTGTGCTTTTAAATTATATATTTATGACACTTTTTAGGTGTTTAACCATGCTCCCAGCAGTCTTTTCTAATGCTACAGCAAGATGTTTGTGAGACTGTCGCATTTTACAGTTTTCTGAACACCAGTGTCTTATTTTGTTTAAAAGCTGTCTTTAAAAGACAAAAATTAACCTAGGCTAAGAGAATTAGAGTTTGAGATTAATTGGAAAAGAATGCTATGTAACGTTTCAAATGATAAAACTGACAAGGGTATAAACAACTTATACTGGTGGACTTAAAATACCATTAGTAATAAATATAGCTGAAAACCCCATTATATCATATAAATCTTACTTTTTGTCATTTGCAAACATTTTCATTTTCATTTCATTCAGTCATAATGCATTTGGTTATTTTATAGTCACTATTTGCATACAGAATGGAGTTCTACACATAAACTTATGAGTTTATTACCTTCCTGCTCCAATATTACATCTGTAGTCTTAGGTCCTATAAATAATGCATACAATAGTACTACATTTAAGGCCAAGTATATATTCATACATCTTTTCTGCAACCCACGTAGAAGACTGTGTTACTCATAGGTTAGTGAAATCATCCCTTACTGTGTAGATATAAGATATGTAATGTAATTACTTCTTTGCTAAACATGAATACAAACAAACCCTAGTATGCAAAACACACTAAGTGAGAAGGTACAAAGTATGACAAAAGAAAACCTGTGACAATATTTATTAGAATTACGGTGTAATTCCTGGGTTATAACGTGGGTTCCTGATGACACTATTTTGTAAAATGTGTCATTCTGAAAACAGTAATGGTCTTAGAATAAAGACCCAAGTTCAAGCCTGACTGCCGTGATCTAGCTATATGATCTTGGTTGAGTCACCCTTCCTCTTTGGTTTTGTTTTCATTAACTGTAAAATAAGAGAAGTGTAGTAGGGACTCTAAAAGGATGCACTCCCCCATGTCCCACCCAATCCTCTAAAGTATAAGTGCATGATTACTTGGCCATCTGCAAAGAACCAAGGGCTGTGCTTAATCTCATAGGTAATAGTTTTAAGAGTAGTGGTCATATGTTTATAAGAAATTTTGCAAATACTGTTATTGCTAGTATTCAGTCCTAAAATTCAGTGGAAATCGATGGCTTCAAAAATTAACCCAAACAATGGGAGTTTACAATTTGGATACCAAAATTTTAATCAACCACTTTTTATTGTTTTTGAATAAGTAGAATTTCTTTCCTTAGAAACTGTCGTTTTTCCAAATATGATGTTTTACACAAGCAGAGAGCTTACTGTTTGATTTTTCTGTTTGACCTTTGACAGCTGCTGCTTCCTACCAAGTAGTTGGTCAAAAGTGACAGGGCCAGTACAAGTAAAGCAAACAGTGTTTCATGGGGGTTTAATAATTAATAACCTGACTTGTCATCCGAACTTCCACAGATCCTATTCCTTACTGTGTCATTGGCAGTGAGATTTTAACAAGAGAAGTCTGTATAAAAAGCAATTGCTCTTTTGTTTCCAAAACAGGTATTACAAGTGGATAAATAATGTGCACTGCTCTGAGCCCAAAGGTACGCAGTGGACCTGGCCTCTCTGATATGCATCAGTATAGCCAGTGGCTGGCCAGCAGACATGAAGCTAATTTGCTACCGATGAAAGAAGATCTGGCCTTGTGGTTAACCAATCTGTTAGGTAAGGTTATAAGATCTCATTTTGTCATCAAAGATAACAGGTTTATTCTCCCTGCTCATGTAGTGTCCTTCTCCTAAGCATATGACACCACTTTAGAGAGAAAGACTTTCATTATTTGCATTTTGCATCTGGGAGACCTGAAGCATATAGAGAATTTAAATGAATTTCCCAGTGTCTCTCACATTAACTGTGCTTCGTAATTCCAATATCATGCATTGTAACTGTGTGGTCAAATTGCGTATTTCATCTATACCCTTGCTGATCTGATTTATTTTTACTTTTCTTTCATGCAACTGACCAGTTTGGCCTATTCTTTTGACACTGCACACGGGCCACAGTCTGTGAGATCTGGCTTCTAAAGCTAGATTTCGTTGCCCTACTTTTATAGCACACCTTCTAAATCTGCTGAATACCCAGACTCTGGAACAATAACATCTATCCTTTGTCCAAATGAGCTGACTGGAGTCATCCAACCTTGAACTAAAATTTTTCTTTTCATTACACTTTTGTTTTTAAGTATTCTTCCAAAAGGACGATCTTAGAGAAAAATGCTACCTCATGCTAAGGCTGCCTCTTTTTTTGTTTCCGTTGTGCTGGCATATTCAGAGTATACAATTTCAGCCATATGCAAAGTGGAATCATACATTCAAAGGATCATCATATAAAGCAATGCTTTTTCACTAGTAATTTTTCACAGAGAACAAAATTGTTTTAAGACCTGAAAAAAGGATCCTTGTAGAGTCTATAAGATTTGAATATTGAGTAAACATAGAATTTGCATGGTGCTTTATCATTTACAGAAAGGATTTCACCAATATTATTTTATTATTGAAAGGATTCCTTCAAGGTAAGTGTTGTTATCGTCACTTTCTAGCTGCTGAAACTGAAGAGTTTAGTGAAGAGCATAGTGCATCTGTAATTTTAGCAAGGTTTGACAAGGTTTTAGCACATTTGAGCAAGATTTTTCTTTTTGCTCACCATGGCTCTGGATTTTTACATTGCTTTTGCATTTTTTAAGCCTTTATCCTAGAGTTAGATCTTTCCTTTTTCCTTACTGTGTGCACATGCTTTTGACAATTCTATGTAGTCTAACCAGGGCTACCGCATATGGAAATGCAGGTGGTGCCCTTTGCAAGGGAGCCCAGTTAAAGGGTAAGAGAAGAAATGCAGAAGGCATCCTTCACATCCATCACTCCCCAGAAAGACCCTTCACTGTGCTATGGAGTGATATCCACCAGAAGGAAGGGCTACCTTTCATTTATACAAGGGAAGAGCATTTTTATTTATCTCCATTATATAGAGGATGTCAATTTAGCCTAAACAGATGGGTTTCCTCCCTCTTTTGTGTGTTCACTAATTATTGTTATATTAGTATTTTATTAACTTTGAGCTGTTTTCAGATATGGGCTGTCACAGCATGGCAGTATAGAAGTTAAGGCACAGACTTGGAATGAACTGCCTGTGTTTGAACACCAGATGTGCCACTTAACTGGCAATATGATCTTGGGCAAGTTATTTAATCTCTCTGTTCTTTAGTTTCCTCATCTATGAAGTGGTAATGACAGTAGGGTTGCTGTGAGATTAAATAATTAAAATATGTATACTACTTAGTGCCTGAAATATCATAACTCTATATGTGGTGGTGTTATTCCATTTATATAGTTCAGTGATATGATTAATTTGATTTGGTGGGTAAGTTCATTCATTTATTCAACAAATATTTGAGTGTACATCAGCATAATAATTATTTGAATAAAATGGACTCTGGAATCAGAATGCTTGAATTCAAATCTCAGTTCCATCACTTACTAGCTCTGTGATACTGGGCAATTTTCTGAATGCACTGTGCCTGGGTTTCGTCATCTGTGAAATACATATAATACTAGTACCAACCTCATGGGATTGTTGGAGCGTCAAGTGAGATCGTCAGCTTTAGAACAAGGTCTGGCACATAGTAATCAACTAGCTATAGTAAATATACTAGCTATTGTGTTTACTGTGTTTCAGCACAGTCTGCTAAGTGCTAGAGGGTAGAGTGGTGACTAAGAATAGACAGAGTGCCTGTTCTTATAGAGCTTGGAGTAGATTGAACAAGAAATTAGTATAAATAAGTGACTGAATAAATAATTCATTAATTGGACTTGGTATAAACACTAAAAGATATAGGTTGCAATAAAAATGTAAAAACAAGGAGGTGGGAATGGGGCAAATGATCAGAGGGCTTGGGGAAATCATTTTTAAGGGGTCTTATATTTAAAACTGAGATCTGAAGAATAATTAATAGCTAGCCAGACAAAGTGTGGGGAAAAAAGCCTGTGTGGAAAGAATGGCATGTGCGGGATAGGAAGGAGTTTGGCGCCTTAGAAGAACTGAACAAAGGCTAGTGTCAACAGTGTAGATCAAGAGGGGGAGACTTTCATGAGATTTGTTGGGGCTAGAGCGTATACTGCTTTGAATACCATGTCGAGGAGCTTATAATTTATTGCATGCTCAACGAGGAGTCCCTGATATGTTCCAGGCAGGGGGAAATCATGATTATGAGTATAGCCTGATTACACAGGTGTGTTCCAAGGTCCCATGACTTGTCATCAAAAGCATTTTATTTGGTGAATGTGATCATTTACAAAGTAGCTTGAGCAGTGTGAGCAGCCCCAAGACAGCCTCAAAGAATAGAGAGTCAGTGTATGTGTAATGGAAATATCCTTGGACTAAAAGTCAGGAGACCTGGCTCCTAACTGGTGTCAGGAGACCTGGCTTCTGATTCTGGCTCTCTCACTTGGTAAACTTGCCCAAAGTCACTCAGCTATCTTTTCTGGGCTCAGTGTCCTCAACCATAAAATGAAGGGGTTGGAGTAGATGATCTCTAATGTCCATTCCAGTTCCAAAAGTCTAAGTTTCCAAGAAATCCATCTCTTGAGACCCAGTTTGAAATCATCAATATGTATAAACAAGGAGAAAACAGTTTACGTAAATGAATAATCTTTCTTTTAAAGAATAAAAAGGCTAATGTTCTTAATGCCAGTTATTGGTAACACAGAAGCAACTGATGGCTTGTGAAATTTTCTCAGAAAAGAAATCTTAAAAGAATCTCAAAAAAAAAAAAGAATCTTAAAATATAGTAAAGTGCCACTTTCTGTTAACTTGAATTCATAAAAGTAGGTAGATGATAGATTTCAAGTAAATATCCTCATGGTAACTTGGAAAGTAGACCAATAGCTTGAGGTTATTTAAAGTGGTAAAACATTCAGAGGTAAGAAAATATGTTATGTACTAGAATGGTGATAATAAGGAAGAGAGAAAAAATGTATGGCTATGTGACAAGATATTTTTACTACACATAATAGATACATTTAGTATTCACGTATTTTAGAAATGGAGTCATTAAAGTAAATTTTAAAATTCTTACTGGTCATTTTGTTGCCTCAGAAATATTTGCAAATTTATATTATACAGCTCTATTTCAATTCTCCATTTTTATCTACTTGAAGGTTAGAGATATCTTGAAGGTAGTTTCAAAGTTGATCTGGTCTCTAGATAAAGTATCTGAATTTTTTGGTGAGGTGGAAATTCACATACTAAATTAAAGCTTCTAACTAGACTTTGCCATTGTAGTGTGGACCTTACTTGTGGAAAGATTTCCTATTTCCTTCTAGCAATACTTGACTAAAATGTAACTTTTTTTCCTTTTTTGCCTTTCAAAAAAAGTAGTAATGATATTCTAAATTCAGGTATTTCTGATCCTACATATAAAATGTCAATTGAAAGGTGGAATTTTTTAAAGAATGCTCACTTTGCATTCAGGTTTTTTGGTGGATAAAAATTATTTGATAGAGAAGAAAATTATTTCATTGGTTCATAGACCAATATTCACATTCTTGCCAAATATGAAGGCATAATACTGTAATTTTCAAGTATTATATACTTACTTAATCAGTAACAATAATAGCGCTTTAGATTCCTCAGCATAAAATTAAAGCAGCAATAGCAAATTTGCAATAGCAAATTTTTAGACTAACTAAAATTTATATATTAGAATATAAAAAACTATTTTATAAGTTAACTAGTTGAGTTAAATAAATTGTCATGATGGTTGGGATTTGTTTATGTGGTAGCATACCAGTCTGATTCATGAGAAAATCATCCTGTGATATTTACTGACTACTTACATATCTTTGTAGTCCAAGTATGTTTTCTATTGATAATAGTTGTCACTATGGAGTTTTATGACCAACACTCAGAAAAGACAGCAAAAGAAACCTGAATCAAGAGAATCTTGCCTCTAAAACATTTCTCTGGCCATTGTCCCCTGCTATACATTAAATATACACATTTAATTTTTATTTTAGGCTTTCTGTTTTGTTATTTTTGTTCATGAACTAGCTATTGCTCATTTGTTAATTAACTATGTCCTTAGGACATATTTGAACATCAAATGATTATACAAATAAGTCTTGGAGAAAAACTTGTTACTTTGAATAAACAGCATGTAATTAAATTAACAGTCCCAGATTATAGCAACTACCCATCATTCGGATAGATGAGGTGCATTCTACAGATTTCATGATTGTTCAAAGACTATTGAAGACTGTTGTTGGTTTAATTTTGAAATGAATACACTAACATAGATGTTCTCAGATTGTTTATTTATTTTGTTTCTTTAATCATTTGAAAATGACTTTTATCTTCAATTAGTATTTGTTTAATAACACTACATGAATCACATGGGAGTATAATTTTGAGAAAAGATTGTAGTTGTTAAGCATCACAGAAATTGATATTGCTCTTAAGGATTTTAGATCGTTAAGATGTAGGCATATGTGTTTGGATATATGCAGGGAATTTGAATAAATCAAAAAATGTATTACAAATCAAGTTAAGCTAAATTGATTTTACTAATATTTAGAAATGCATTATGACAGTTGATGTTATGATGATTGTCCCTTTCTCTGACTTTCCTACATGCACATAAGGGAAAATTCAGTTGTTATATGCGTAGTATG